CCCTTTAAACCTAGTTTAAAGCCCTTTCTCCCAGGCCATGCTGCCTGCTTCATAATTCTGCAGACTGCAAGCCTGGAAAGAATACGAAGCAGATGCACCAATGCCAAGGTCAGGACCTTCCCAGTATTTAAGACATATGTATACTGTTAGCATGGTACAGGATGACCTCAGTGTACAATAGGAGCCAACAGACACACACATTCAGACAGAATAAATATTTGACAGAGTCTATTTCTCTATTCCCTAGAATGACCCCTATAAAAGCAAGGTCTTGTTTACCTTCCCGGCTCTCCGTGCACAGTGTTCTGAGAAGAAACAAGCTCTCTTCTCCATTCATTGCCTGCCTGCTCTTCTGGATGATCCATTTCCAGGCAAGGATCAGGGATGTTTGCTTCACAAACCCCAGGACACCTTGACTTTTCACAGAACTCCTGAAATTTGGGGAAAGCTGTGACCGTTTATGTTCTCTGTTTGTGCCAAAGCACACTGTCCTGGGAACCTGTACAAGATGTGAGTGTACAGCCTGAAAGTGATTGCCTGCAGCTGTCCAAGATGGTTTTTGTGCTGTCCCTGCCCCATTAGCACGCGTGCAAGTCTCCCCATCCTGCTGCCTGTGCCACAGGTTTCTAGAGAGCCTGCAGCAGGCTTGCATGTACAAAATAGCAGTTGTGAAGAATATTTGATGGGGTTTATTCTTTTTTCCTCAGCGTACTAAGCATGCTTTCTTTGCCCTCCTGGAGTGCAAATCTCTTCCGTTTGCCTCTGTGCCTTGGTGGCAGTGTAGCTGTGCCGCTCAGAGGCAGTGGAAGCTCTGGGGTGATTTAGACCAGCCCTGCTGCATTACCCACCCATGCACTGCCAGGTACCTCTCCTCTCATGGGCACAGATGTCTCTGGGTTTGCTTTTCAGTCACTGTGAACTTTGCCCAGCCAGTTCGAGCTATCCTGAGCTGTTCCATTTTTGTCCATGTTTGTGTCTTTTCATTTAATGACAAGTTAGCTTCTCATGCCCTTGCACATAAACGGTGAGAGTCCTCAGAGCTTCCTACCACAGCGGCATATGCCTGCTGATGATTGCTGTGCTTTTTATTTTGTATAAGATCATTTTCAGTGAAAACAGTCTTTAACTAAAACCAACCTACAATAGCTTAGCTTGGCATGAAGAATGAGTGGAGGCATATGAAGGTCTATGAAACAGTGATTATTCTAATGAATAATCAGGTTCACCTAATATCCAGGTCCTCCTCCTTTGACTGCTCTTCCATATCGCAAGATCAGACACCAGGCAATTAGAAGAGGGTTTGTGTACGTTAGACAGAGGAAATACTTTATCTGTAACACGTCTTAGACAAGTGGAAACCATCTTTGCCAATATTCTTAAGGCAAAACCAGCAACTTGCTGCTTTCTTTTTTAAGGTTAACACTGAGAATAAAAAAGGGAGCTAGAAGAGTGCAGAGCTGTCAGTTGAAAGAAAAATTGAAGCCTGCTAATCCTTTCTTGTCAAATTTAATATAAAGCCTGGCAGAGATGGATAAGTGTCTCCCTCTCTGCCTGATGTTACAGGTGCATGGTAAAATCACCTCTCTGAAACACCCACAAAAGCTTACATGCAGAGCTAGGCTTCAGGCTGGAAAGGCTGCTGGCCAGCCTGACATTGCAGGTCCTAAGACCATTTTAAATAGCTTTATCCTGTCACTTTTCTATCTGCAACCTGAAGAATAGCTGTCCGTCCCCCTCTCATCCTTTATACGTTGCAGATTTTCATTGCAGCCCCTCTCAGTGGCTGATGCTCTGCTGCACTGAATGTTGTGCTGAATGACTGTCTGTCTTAGCATTGGGCATGGAGCATCCATGGAACACATTGCTGGGGATGGGGTACCACTCCCCATGACCTGCCTCTGCTCCTTTTGCAGCACAGTGCTTTGGCTGTGGTTGGTGGGGCTGTGGGATTGGAAGCATGCCTGTCTGCAGTGGCAGAGGTCACGTGGGTGTTGGTAATCAGCAGCAGCAATGGCAGGATGCAGGGAAAAATAGTCTCCAAAGAGCTTGAGCTCCTTCATCCCTGGGTCTGTCCTGGTGGGAGAGCCTGGAGAGCAGAGCAAGTGCCTGCAATAGCAGGGGACACACGGATCCTACCTGCTTGAGTAAGGGCAGCCATGGAGCAGTTGGGTCTGGACATGTGGAGCAGAGAGAAGAACGAGCCAGACCCAGCAGCCCCCTCTGTTCCATGTGTGGAAGTTTCTGAAACCATGCTCCTACCCTGCATGTGTGCTGGGTGCCAAGCTAGTGTGCAGCTCCTCTCCAGCCACCGTACGGCCACAGGAGCAGCAAGTGCTTTTCCCAGGGGAGGGTGCTTGGTGGGCTCACATCGTTTGTGCACGGCCTCTCAAAGAGGCAGATTTTACATTGTCTGGTTTCTCTTTTTGTAGCTGTCCCTCCCAAACTGAAGAAACTGAAAAGCCCAAACGTTCATGTTGGTGAAAAGATTTCACTGAAATGTGAGGCGACTGCTGGAAACCCTCAGCCATCCTACAAATGGTTTAAAGATGGCAAAGAGCTGAAGAAGAGCAAAGACATCCGGATCAAGTATGGGAATGGGAAGTAAGTATGTTATGGGGCTGCTCTGACTCTGCTCACTAACGCTGAGAGTCTGGGTCGGGGGGACTGTCTGGATAGAAGTGATGCTGTGGTCTCCAAGTCATTGCTGAGCAGAACTGAGATGCTTCCTCGGCGTCACAGGACCATGCACAGCCCATTTACCATGCCTGAGAGAGTGAGCAAGATTCCCAGTTTCCAGAGTAGTGGAGAGGAGCAAGGCACTACAGGTTACATGCTGAGTTTGTAGATGGGGGTCTCCTTAGGTAACTGTGTCACTGGCTGAGATGGGTGCCCAGTGACCTGGGGAAATAACAAAAAAACGCTTGCTGTGGTTGTAGGCAGTTCAAATTACCTGGGGTGAATCCTGCTTTGTGATTAGGAGTTTGAGTGCAAAAGCTGTCCAGACTCAGCAGTTGCCCCACGAGCCAACAGCAGGCCTGTGCAAATGTGGGAGGACTCACTTTGTTCTCTCCTGAATTTAGATGGACTCAAAAGCATCTAAGGCAACTGCAAAGATGCAAGAACACATCATGATACTGTAGTTCAAATTACCTGGGGTGAATCCTGCTTTGTGATTAGGAGTTTGAGTGCAAAAGCTGTCCAGACTCAGCAGTTGCCCCACGAGCCAACAGCAGGCCTGTGCAAATGTGGGAGGACTCACTTTGTTCTCTCCTGAATTTAGATGGACTCAAAAGCATCTAAGGCAACTGCAAAGATGCAAGAACACATCATGATACTGTATGATTAGGGCCTGTAGTTGCCCACCGAGGCTTTGTCTTACGCCAGACCTAGTGTAGCTGCACCCAGGGCAAGCTCCGTTGCAGCTGCCCCATGCTCACCATGCAGTGAAGATCTCGGGCAGCTGCTCTCAATGAGTGTCATCCCAGGGACCACCTCATTCAGGCAGTGCAAAAACACCGGGACAAATAGGCCCCAGTGACTAAGCTAAAGGGTTCTCACTGGGAATTGATTTAAATGGATCCATGTTGATATATTTTCAAGGCTAAATATTTACATATGATGCATCTTAAAATTATTCCATAATCATGACTATTCTTACATTCATATAGCCTGATCTAGCCGGCAACAAAGTCAATTTGTAGCTGCCCAACCCCTTGGAAAACTTGAAACTAATTCTTTGCTAACACATATTATGCCTGAATGTGTGGAAAAAACCTCACCTCTTCTCATTATGGACTTATTTTTTAGAATAAGAAGCCACTAAAAAATCAGATGGAAAAATCAGTTAGTGCTTGAATGGGTCAATGTCAATTGCTCTAATTTAATTTCTGTTCAGTTGGTTTTGATTTCAAAGTGACACCCAAAATGGTTGACCTACTTCATCATATCTGTAGGATTTGTGGCTGTTTAGGTATGAGCCAGAGGGGTGGCCAGTGGAAGGTTTAGGCTAGAAACACCAGTGGATCCAGGATAACTGGCTTGTGTCTAGTGGATGCTGTCTGCTCAGGAAGGGCTGTCTGGGTTTGCAGGCAGCAGAGGTAGGGCAGCGCTCTGCCTGCCTCTTTGGTCTGTTGCGCGCAGTATTTCTGTGGCCCTTGTCAGCTGCATGGCCTCAGTTGTTTACCAGTGGGTTCTGGAGCTGGGATGCCCCGGAGGAACATCTGCACCACCCACTACAGCCAGGCGTGGGAAGCCTGCCCGTCCACCCCACGCAGACACTGCATCCCTGCGGGCAGGCAGCTTGTGAGACCCTGAGCTCACTGGTGCTGGGGTCTCACAGGGATGTTGGAGAGCTATTTCCCTCAAAGCTAGAGAGACCCAGACCAAACACCCAGCAAAGTTCTCTGGGGAGGGATCCTGGTGATGGCAGGAAGCGTCTCTTGCAGCATTTGCCTGCTGTGCTCCCAGAGATCATAGTCCTTCCTTGCCTCCTGGCACCCCATGTCACAGCACGAAGCTGTGACAGGATGGCATCCCACCCACAGCGGTGCAGGGGGGGCACACACTCCCCGTGTCAGGGACATAAACATATGGAAGGAGGTTGATCCTCTTTCCTCAGGACACTGCTGTCAAGTCATAATTTTGCATTTACCAGTTTCCATGGCAACATGTTGGCTTACAGCCTGCCAGTGACAGGCCAAAGACATGTGCGTGCTAGAAGTGCTTCCTGCTGGCAAAATAAGCCCAAGGATAAACATTTTAAAGAAAGCTAAGCACCTGCCTCCTCCAGTGTCTGAAGCTCCCTCAGCAGCAAAGGTGTGAGCCCAAAGCATCCCATGCTGATCTGCCCTCAGAATGGCTTCCCATCTCTGCTTCTGCTCCCTGCTGACATTAGCACGTGCCATTATGTGGTGAGGTTGCCTGTCTGGGGCTGGGGCTTGGCAACAGAGACTAAGAGACTAGATTCAAGCAGCTTTCAAGCTGGGACAGCTCTGAGGTGATAACCCTTTGTGGACCATCTTCCCCTTGTTGAGCAGTCAACGGTACAGGAACACCACTCCAGGCAGATCTGGATGGGCCTGTGCACACCGTGTCTGGCATCCTCAGCTTTCAGCCTCTCCACTAGGTCTCAGTGCTTGAAAATGCCTCGAGGGTCGAGTGTTCACTGGCATTGGACCAGCCTCCTTCTGGTCTTGACTGCATGTAATAAGCACTAAAAATTTCTTTGTGCATGCAGGCTGAGGATTGAGGGGGCCCTCATGACTTTGCTTATCTCCATTAAGTAGCTAGTGGGACTGAGTTTAGTAAAGGGATCCAAAACTGGACATGGGAGACAGGTGTACATTATTACTTCCAGAGTGTTAGGAGGGGACTGCAGGGAAGGGTAAGCATCTTAAATTGTAGAGCTCAGAGGGGAGGTCTTACTGTATAATGATTAATTTAAGAGTAATGGGGTTTGTACAACTGGTTCCACTTAGAGATAACTCTGGTGTCCAGATAATCCTCTGCTCTTCCTCTTAGTTCAGAGTAGAGTGAGGTTTCTAGGCGGCTAGAAATAGAGGAGGGACTTCCACAGAGAAAGTACACAAGATATAAAAATTCTCACAGAATATGCAGCCCCAGGCCAGCTGCACAGCATTATTTCTGTAAAAATTTCATCCAAAGACCTAATAGGTTATCTGCTGGAGCCAGGCAGAATGAGCCCTGCCAGGGTGTGGAGATGTGGTCCATAGTGTTTCCCTTGGCCCTGTGAGTCCTCAGCAGAGCTGGGCACAGCGCTGTGTTGGAATCTTTTTCTGCGGCTCTGCAGTCCTTGGATAACATGCAGAGGATTAGGATGGGAGACAAGAAGAACATGGTTGCCCTCTCTGACTCATTCCTCTTACCGTGCTGTGCCTGGCTTTTCTCCCTGCGTGTTTAAAAAGCCTTGAGATCTCTAACTAGAAAGCGTGACTGAAGGCCTTTTTTTTTGTGATCAAGTTTTCATCTGATTCCACTGGCCTTCCTAGAGTAGGAGATCACTTTGAAAATACGGGAAGTAGATGATGTAAGGAGGAGAGTAGCAGTTAACTGCATGTCAGCTCTTCAGCTTTTCCATCGATCATCTTCCTTCTTGTTTTTGAAACTTACCAGCAAAACTTCTGGTGCCATCAGGCAGAGGAGTCAGGTTTTTTTCAATGGGTATTTGCTGGAGGGAGGGGAACAATTCTGATTCCTCCTTTCTGAACTGCATGTTCCGTCCGTAATTAGTAACAGGCTGGGGCAAGTCTGGTTTGCACAAAGAGGAACCCTCTTTAAGGTGGAAGAAATTATTGGCTGGAATTTTATCTCCAGCTCAATTTAAATAAAACACAGTTAATGGAGAACCTAGGGAAATCACCCAGAAAGTATTGCATGTGGTAATGGAAGTACAGCATAGTGAGTGGCTCTGCCTCTGAGCTGCCAAAGCAATACTGCTTTCTGCTGAGTGTGTCTGAGATCTGATCGAGGGTGCTGGCTCCCGAGAAGTTAAGGTTGGGTTTTGAGTCTAACTGTCCTGGCAAATGGTCAAATGCCAGTTGTGGAGAAAGCCAAGAAAGGGAGTTTCTGTGTAGAGAACCTACCCCTCTTCAAGCTGTGCTCAGGGCTCAACCCTGAGACATGCAGACCTGCAGCTGGAGTCAGAGGGGTTCCAGGAGCCAGGTAGTCTCCTAGCTGCCACTGTCCTTACAGCCTCCTTTCTTCGTGTGCTGTTTTACCAAGGGAGATTGCTGGGGCGATGAAGGAGGCATATCACTAGATTGGAGAGGGCTGGCAGTTCAGTTTGGGACAGACTGACCATATGAGATCCCTTGGGAGTAGTGCCCTACTTTCAGTATCATCAGGAATCCCTATTGTTAGCCTGTAAGTGGAGCCAAGGGATACCCTCCTGTCCTGCTTCTGTACAGTAGTCCCTCAGGCAATGCTAGATGGGGCAGATTCATTGCTGGGGTCTTCCTTGTAGAGCTCCCTGCTGCAGATTATTCCCCACCCACAATGAATGGGGCTGTGGTCTTCCCTGTACAGCTCACTGCTGTGGAATGAAGGGGGAAAAAAAAAAAAAAGCCAAAGCAGCAGGAGAAAGAGAGTGCCAATAAAGATAAATGATTTCCTAATTAAGCCTGGAGACAAGGAGGGGCAAAGAGAACTGTTGAATCCTTGTGGGAGCCAGGGTGAACCCAAGAAGGCTATACCACCACTCTGGCAGGGGTCTTCAGACTGACATTTTTAAACAAAGGAAAAAGCTCATTTGACAATGGATCTTGCAAGAGCAATTCCAGATGCCTTGAAGCTAAGACTCTTCTCAAGCACCGGTGTTGTTAAAATCACCAGGGGAGCTTCTGCTCTGCTAACTCTCACGATGTCATTATAAGTCCCCAATATCTGGGATTTGGTTTTAGCTGCTGAAGGCACTTTATTGGAGGGGGGTGTGAAGGAGAGTATCTCCTTTGTTTGTCTGTTTGTTGTTTTAAAGGAGATGATGGACATCATCTTGGCCAATGCACCTGGGACTGAACCAGGGAATTTGAGAACTGAAAGGAGCAGCAGTTGGGTCTTGAGCTAGAGCAATCCACAAACTTTGC